GGGTGGGGGGGTATCACACTAAGTCATAAATTACTAACCGGGAAATTATTCCCTTTGCCCCCCCCCCCCCAGCACCCAAGACCCCTGTTACTGGCCTGCTTATAAGTGGGGCCCCCAACTTTGAAAAACGTTCCGCCGGCCCTGATGTTTGTGCAGAAGGCCAACTATTCGGAAAATTAGTGTACTGCCCAATTCACCACCAGAGGGACCTCATTGGAAATAAGTCTTCAGACTTTAATGGGGTAACCTTGGTATACACCGAATAAATCCATCCTCCATCTAAATCAGGGGTGTGCATAAAAATCGGTCGGAGGGCCAAAATGAATTTTTGATTTAACACCGGGGCCGCACCAAAACTTTGATGTTCCAGTGAGCTTCCAAAAACCTCCAATCACTGCTTTTACATCACCTTTATTCTCAGTTTTAATGTTATATTTACATATTATTGGTGTCGGGCCGTGAAAAACAAGGTGTTTCTAGCCAATTTTGATTGGCGGGCCGCAAACATAGGGTTTTTAATTCATTGTCGCGGGCCGCTAGAAAATCGCTGACGGGGAGCGTGCACTTTGCCCACCTGTGATCTAAATGATATAGGCCTATAAATCAACTATGATTTTTATTGGTATTTGTGGAGTGTGCAGAATACTAGTGGTTATTACTAGAACAAATTACAAAAATGCTTAAAGAATTTATAGGAACTAAAAATGTTTACTCCTTACATTTTGTGTTCATTTACTTACGTTTAACGGATTCACATGTTCTCAGTAAATGAAAAGTGAATACAAACAAAAGTAATCTCATCTTCTATCTGAAACAATGTCAAAGTTTGATAGATAATCATAACTAGGAAGCATATCAATTGGGATAAAACAAGATGATAGCGAGTGAGATGAAAGAAGATGATTAAGAAAACATGAAGTGAGACGGGATGAGATGGCAGAAAAAGATGATGAGATGAAATGAGATAATTGAGAATTGAATAAATTGCGATGAGATTAGATAAGGTAAGATGAAAGCAGTTGTATGTGAGATGATGAGATAAGATCAGATCAGATCATTGCGATGAGATGAGGTGAGACAAGATTAGACTTGTGATGGTGTTAGGTAAGATGATTAGATGAGATAAGGGGAAATATAAGTTGAGATGTGAGATGAGATGAAATCATTGCGATAAGCTGAGACAAGTTTAGGCTTGAGATGGTGTTATTCAAGATGATTAGATGAGATAAGGGGAGGTAAGTTGAGATGAGATAAGATGAGACGAGATTAATTTATGAGATAAGATGAGATATGAGATGAGATCATTGCGATAAGCTGAGACAAGTTTAGGTTTGTGGTGGTATTAGGCGAGATGATAAGATGAGATAAAGGGAAATAAGTTGAGATGAGACGACGAGATTAATTTGAGATAAGATGAGATGTGAGATGAGATCATTGGGATAAACTGAGACAAGTTTAGGTTTGAGATGGTGTCCAGGCAAGATAATAATATGAGATAAGGGGAGATAAGTCGAGATGAGATAAGATGAGACGATATTATTTTTTAAAGATAAGATGAAATTTAAAGATGAGACATGATGAGATGAGACGAGGTAAGATGCCATGAATTGCGATAAGATGAAATGAGACAAGATGAGATAAGACGAAAAATGATGAGATGGGTCGACAAGATGATGAGTTGAACTGAGATAAGCTAAGACAACAGGGACGTATCCAGTGGGGAGCCGTGGGAGCCGCGGCTCCCCCCCCCCCCCTTGTACACATTGTTAAAATTTTAAAGCTTATTCTTGAGCCAATACAAATTCTTTCCTGGGATCGTGACTCAAAATGAATACTTCTAAACATGTAAATATGCATCAGTACACGTTATACATAGGCCTAATAGAACACATAAGCCTAAGCGTGATTTAGCAAAATCTTAAATCCATAAATGTCAGGCCATGGTGGGGCTGAGGTGGTTGTGAAATCACGTTTTTGAAGTAGGCCTATGTAAAGTACATACTCAAAGACAATGTTTTTAAGCTTTGTTTTCTATGGGATACACACATACATTAATAAGATC